AAGTGTGTCATGCTGGTGTGAAGTGTGTCATGCTGGTGTGAAGTGTGTCATGCTGGTGTGAAGTGTGTCATGCTGGTGTCAAGTGTGTCATGCTGGTGTCAAGTGTGTCATGCTGGTGTCAAGTGTGTCATGCTGGTGTCAAGTGTGTCATGCTGATGTCAAGTGTGTCATGCTGATGTCTAGTGTGTCATGCTGGTGTCAAGTGTGTCATTCTGATATTCATGTATGGTTCTTCTAACGCTGTACAAACATGAGGTGTGAGATACTAATATCTTTGGTGTGCTGAATTTCATATTTTTTATTATTTTTTAATCATATATTTTCATATTTTTTAATCACACATAATTTTAATCAAATTTTAGTAGGTATTTATTTTTGTGACTGAATTAGGTCTTTTTTTTATCAAGCGTCTTACAGTTATTACAGCAGTTTTTCTAGATCTAGTCAGGGCATTTCTCCTATATATTTATACGGTTGCATATCATTAAAAATAATAGTACGAAAAGTCAATATATTATATTATATTAAATTATATTATATGATATTGTATTATATTGTATTTTGTGAAGTGTGTCATGCTGATGTGAAGTGTGTCATGCTGATGTCAAGTGTCTCATGCTGATGTGAAGTGTGTCATGCTGGTGTGACGTGTGTCATGCTGATGTACATGTATGGTTCTTCTAACGCTGTACACAAAACACGAGGTGTAAGTTGCTAATATATATTGTGTGTGAAATACTAACTTTACCGAAAGCAAGGCCTGAACGTGTCTTTAATATCAAGATATGGTGCGCTGAATGCCCACACATTTGAGTGCCTTTAACGTAAGAGTGTGAATGAAGCATTATTATTATTTTGAATACTATTCAAGATAATGGGTGATCAGTTAACTCTCGGAAGTTTTCAGGTATAGGCGTACTATACAGTAGTTGGAACATTCAGAGATGTTAGTTATGTGTGTTTGTAAATTCAATAGATCAGGTATGACATACTTCACTCTCCGTGCCAATTTATTTCATATTTATTTAATCACATATAATTTTTATCAAATTTTAGTATTTATTTTTTGTGACTAAATTAGGTCAATTTTTTTATCGAGCGTCTTAGTTATTACCGCAGTTTTCATAGATCGAGTCAGGGCATTTCTCCTATATATTTATACGGTTGCATATCATAAAAAATAATAGAATTATGAAAAATCAATATATATTATATTATATTATATTATATTATATTATATTATATTATATTATATTATATTATATTATATTATATTATATTATATTATATTATTTTTGCAGATGCATTCTTCTGGGTGGGCACGGAGGGGGAGCAGCCGAGCCCCAGGGGGCACATGGTCCCCTTCCCCTCGGGGGCGAGTGGCGAGTGAGTGTCGTGAAATTGAATTATTTTTACTATCTGTGAAAACAACCATCCCACGAAGCAGGCCTCGTAAGTACAGTACACGCAGTGCTTGTTACTTCGTGGTGGAAAGGAGCGGTCTCGTAAGCATTGCACACGTACTATTACTTACTCCGAAGAAGCTATTAACGTTTTCACTAGAATATGACGCAATATGGCTTCGTAAATATTGCACGCGCATTGCTACTTTTTTTCAGAAGAAGCTACTCGAGTTTTTGATAAATAATATATTTTTCTTTCCGGATATAAGGATTCACTTGAATATGAACTTTACAATACCGCCACGTTTTATTTGGGCAGTTGATGTCCGCTTACCGGCCAGTATATATTAAACGCCTATATTCAATATTTAATTTTAACTTGTAAAACGAAAAGGTACTTAAGCTAATACAATTAGTAATATGCGTGAATAATGATACCCAGCTGCGTGGTTATCTTCTCTGGTTATAATGTAAAATGGCATATTGTTTTTAAACGTGTATACTAGTCACAGAATGTGGCTTTTTTAATAAGCACTTACGTTTTCCCCCTTTTCTCACTAGAATATGACGCAATATGGCTTCGTAAATATTGCACGCACATTGCTACTTGTTTTCAGAAGAAGCTACTCGAGTAAATGCCGAATGACTCGTATTTAATTACTAACCTGGCTGTGGAACGTCATGTTCAGAACTTGAGACGATTTTGATGGCTTATATTTTAAAATTCAAATTATTTTTTTATATTTATCCTATGTAATAGTCAATATAGTGCATTATATTATATTAAATTATGATACAGTAGTACATAATGTTATATTATTTTTGCAGATGCATTCTTCTGGGTGGGCACGGAGGGGGAGCAGCCGAGCCCCAGGGGGCACATGGTCCCCTTCCCCTCGGGGGCGAGTGGCGAGTGAGTGTCGTGAAATTGAATTATTTTTACTATCTGTGAAAACAACCATTCACCGACAACAATTATTATTATTCATTTTGTTCATTATTATTTTTATCCCGTATTATTATATTTTTGTTTTATTTACACGAGGTGAGGATTCTGTTGGGTATTATAAAGAGCGACAATCAGTATGACTTCTTAAAACACATTTTACCTGGTAATAACTTAGTTGATAACAAATGACATGTAATTAATTACGATCGAATTCAACAGTGATAGTTTTACGAGCCAATTTTACATACTAAAAAAGCCCTTGATTTACAGTTTCATGAACCAATTATACGTACTGAACTATCCTTTAATTTTCCAATGAGATAATTAATTATTTTTACATACTTATGCATCCCTTGATTTACCAATGACATAATTATGATCACATTTATTACGGATAATTTAATAAATAACGATGTTGGCAGACGCGAGATGGTGCTGCCGCAGTTCACCGGAGAGAACGTTCTCTTCAGGCTGCCTGATGGCGTGAAGGTCTCACAGCTGCGCTGGATTTCGGTCTGGTGTCGACGATTTACTGTGAGTTCTTGCAAACTTTCATGTTTTACTTTTTTAAGGTAAACTTATTTGGAAACTTTAAATGTCATTTTTAAAATTTTTTTATTTAACATTTATTTATTTTAAAATTTATTTATTTAAAAATGAATTATTTATTTATTTTACGTAAACGTATTGTGAAGAGTATTTAAGGTATGGCAGGAAACGAAATTTTTATTTTAGGTTTAATTTGTGAAAACATTTTATAAATAGTACACATCCTTACACAAAGTAAGGGAAGAAAGCAAATTTTTAGTTTAGGTTTACTTTAAGAATGCGTATTACGAAGCGTATCTATTGATATAGGAGGAAACTAATTGCATTTTCAAAGGTTTTCTTCAATGTCCTTGAAGTTGAAATTCAAGTTCAAACATTTCTGGATTAATTTACGCGTAAATTCTGAGAAATTACTGAGACTTTACTAATAGTGATTCATTTTAAGCGCATTTTCTCATTTATGGAAAAAAGCGTTACTGTGCTCGTCCTGTCCGTCTGTCCGTCCGTCCGTGACTTCACGTTTTCGTCGACGAGAAAATGCGCTCTGTCACTCACTGCAGTGAGTACTGAGTTATATTTTTTTGCATTTTCGTGTGTCATCCGTTTCGGCTCAGCTAAACAGGCGGGCGCTCTATTGAATTGAATCAAGTGTTGGTGAAGTGTTGAACTGTGAGAATTTTTTTAGGCAAAGATTTAAAACGTGTCAATTTCAAGCAAGAGTTGTTCATTTCATATGGTAAAGCTTTCATCCTGAAAATTAATTGAAATTGTGTAAGTTTTTTTGTATTTTTCTTCAAAACGAGCATAAAATTCTATCAAACTTGAGCTGATCACTTCTTTTTTTAAAGGGTTTGAAAAAAAATCACTTGTTTGTTTGTAAAACCCAAGAAAACTGCAATATCCGCTCAGTTCGTAGTAGCCAGACTGTTTTTCCTCAGTGACCGCGGAAGAGACCGTGCGTTACCATGGAAACCTTAACAGGAAATCGGAGATCTGCTTGCCATAACAACCCGGAACTTGCGAAACAAGTTCTAAAACTCCACTTGTGAATTATGCGGTGAAAAGGTTCATTGGCTCGTCGAAAAAAAAAATCTTGTCTGAAGGGGCTTGGTTCATTTGAGGTTTTAAACTTTCCAGACATCGAGCAATTAGTACCATATAATGATGCTTTTTTATAATTTTTTTTTATAATGGTACGTTTTTCGACGTAATGGCTTGAATTTTTTAAAGTTTTTAGCGGCTTTAGTTTATTGGTGGTTCTCACTGTAGCATGTAAAGACGTGTGAAAAATGAACAGATAATTACTTTTAGAGTGATCAAGCTTATTGAACAAAAGAATTTTGAGTCTTTGCAGGATTCAAGTTTCGATAATAGTATACATCTTTTGGAATCGACCTCAGGCTGCATCATCCCTTGCTTAATAATCAATCATTTCCATTTTTAATTATGCTTGAACATGTGTTTAATTGACATCTAATACCGAGATGTGCATTTTTAAAATTAATTCAAATTCCTTTTTATAAGCATGGAGCAAAAATCCAGCGTACTTTAGCACTCATTACATTTTATTCTGAAGTTCGTGTCTAGAAAATCTACGGATATTGAGCCTGAAGTTTCAGTTACTTTTCATCTCATTGCCGATCAAAACTAAATAAAGCAAAATGAATTCATGCTGAATTTCAAATATTTTTCTAGATTATCTAAGACAAATCTAAAAAAATTTCATCCAATTTGTGTGTCATGGCTAATTAGTGACAAAAGCTTTGTGAAAATAATAGCTTAACGAGTGCAGTTCAGCTTAGAGAGAGTAAACGATGGAACTGCGCCAAATGAAATGTAACTTTTATCGCTAATTTCATCAAGCATGCCTCGGAGATGAAATACTGAGTATTAATTTTATTAGAATATTTGTAGACGTTCTAATACTATCGAATTTACGTGACGAGCACCAATCACAGACGCGTATTTTCCCTCGCTGCTGATTGGTTGAGGCGGTCGTGACGTCACCTAGACACGCCTATCTTCATGGCTATAATATCCTGTATCTGATGCCATGCATTCGCTCCTTACGTACCAATTGAATCTTTTACCGATGAAATCTTGGAAAGTTCAGCTATATATTACGTGGGCGTTGCTTAAGTATTTTCGCGTTGTAATTGAAGTCGGCTTGAATCAAATTATTTACATCGATTAACATTGCCCTATAATAGACATTGATATTGATTTGTATCATTCAATATAGAAAAATACGAAAAAGAATCACAAATGCATATATTAATAAAATTACGTTATATTCAGATCGAAAATGATTTGTTGCTGACTCCGCATTCATTAACTATTTCACGGTATTAAATGAACGAAAACTAACTTAATTCGTTTCTTCATTATCGAGAAATCCTGCTTACATTTCTCACCTTGTCTGAAGGAGGTTCCTTACTCAAGCTGCCTCTTCAGTAATGACGTCGGTTTAAGTTTTTTACGCACGTTTATCAAAAAATTGTTCAAAATGGTCTTCTTATAATAAAATCATCTGAACTTAATTGTTATTCCGTGAATTATTACTGTGAGAGTTTAATTTCCAGCGGATATTATGAAACATTCAGAGCATTATGTATTTTTTTTAGTATCAACCTCGGAGTTTGTCGTTCAAAACTTAAGAGTTTCTTCTACCATTTGTCATATGATTGTTGGAACGAGTCTTACTTCTACATTTTTTAATTTATTCCTGCCAATTTTTCTTACGTTTGAGCGCTAAATTTCACTAAGCCCCTTAGCCCAAGCATCGTTTTACCACGTTATTTTGACATTTAATTTATGCAAGATACCGTCCAAGCTATGGAAAAATGTTACTGAAGTAGCATTCGCCATGGCTGTGAATTTATAACAATGGTATACATCAAATTATATATTCCACCGTAACGTTCTCCTACTAAATTATTTCGCCGTAGCGTTGCCCTACTAAATTATTTCACAATAGCGTTGCCCTACTAAATTATTTCGCCGTAGCGTTGCCCTACTAAATTATAAATTATTTCGCCGTCGTGCCGTTCACAGAGTTAATTTAATGATGTATCGTTGTATCAATTTTGTTCACATTATTCACAAAAATGTCAAGATAAGATCAGCTAGGAGTCACGGTTAAAGGACAATAGTTTAAAATATGAATACATCGTCGATTGTTACTCAGACATAATATTTAGAACTTCACTATTGTTGTCATGAGAGTCTCTCATTTTTAGGACGGAACCCTCCTCATCAAGGCGTATTAGCCAGTCTTTTACAAAGCGCTCAGTTGTAGTTTCCAAGAAAACTTTTAATTTATAGAATTTTATTCATAGTTGTTTTGTCAGCAGCCTTTTGTAAACGGGTTATATTTTTTTGTGTCATTTATAAAGCATGGGGAAATACGTATAATAATGGCAGGGGCTGAAAATTTTCTTACTCTTTGCTCATTCATTTATGCTAATTAAAAATTTAAAACTGCTCTGAGATATACATGAATAAATACGAGAAATGTATTGTGAAATGTGGGGTCAAATGTTTTGTACTCAAATTTTTTGTATTTTGTATTTAAATTTGGGGTCAACTGCGCGTGTAGGGGTCAAATGATTTCATCAAAGTCTCATACGGTACACTGAAAGAATCATTTTATAATTGCATTATATGTAAATTAATTTTGGTACTATGAAATAGTTAATATTTTCACAGATTTATATTAGACGCCTACGAGTGGGCAAAGAGAATAGGTTTGGGCGCATGAGTGTGACCAGGCTAAAGAGAAGGCCGCTCTCTTGGGGCAGCTTTAAGGGAGGCTCTTTTCTTGTATAGGTTGCATGCACGGCGCACTCCAAATTTCTGATCCCAATTTCTGCTTCAAAATCATGTTGCCTAGAACAGAAAAATTAAATGACTTCTTGGAAATCATCCACTTTAGTTGCATCAAATTACTATTGAATTTTGTTCTTATTTAATTTGGGTTCACATTAATCAATTTTTTTCTAAAATATTCCTCAGCGTTTCTGGTAGGATGCATTCCTGATTTTCATAGTCATGGAAGATGTGGTTACATTCCAAAAATAATCGAATGTATTAATTATTCAGATTTTATTTATTTTATTCATTATGAAGTATTTATGTACTGCATTTGTGCTATTATTTAACTATGAATTCCAAAAGAAATGCAGTATTTTGGTAATTAATTTACGAAATTACTAGATGAACGACTCGTTTTTTAAATTTGTACTCGATGCACTGTATTTATTTTCTAAACTTAAAATCCGCCGAAATTCGTGGCGAATCTCCTCATCGATCGATTAATTAAAATTCACATTCATTAATCCAGCAGTCGCTAATGCTACGTGACAAAAATAAAAATTTACCTACATGCAGCCTCTCATTCAAACATAACTCAGAAACTATTCGTTTATTTCATTACAGGTGAACTTTGGTAGTCTGCGTGTCCCCGAAAATTTGATCTTACCGAAGAAGCGCAAGCTGAGCGAGCTGTCCCGTCTCGCTCACGGCGTGCGCTCTGGTAACGTCACGCTGCTCGACGCTAAGACGATCTACATCCCGAACCTGCATTACGATGGTCGAGCGCCTGATGCCTACTTCTGGGTCGGCAAGGGAACGCCCGACAGAACTGGACGCAAGATACCTAACGAAAAGAAGAGGTAAATTTCTTATTTTATACGTAGAGGACAAGTTGGAAATGTAGACATTTAAATTATAATCTATAATACTTTACGACGGTCGAGCGCCTGATGCGTACTTCTGGGTCGGCAAGGGAACGCCCGACGGAACTGGACGCAAGATACCTAACGAAAATAAGAGGTAAATTTCTTAGTTTATACGTGGAAGACAAATTGGAAATGTACATATTCAAAGAATAATATAGTTAGTTCGTCAGTGTTCGGTGAGAAATATTGGACGTGGAGTGACGCTAAGACGATCTACATCCCGAACCTGCATTACGATGGGCGAGCGCCTGATGCTTACTTCTGGGTTGGCAAGGGAACACCCGACAGAACTGGACGCAAGATACCCAACGAAAAGAAGAGGTAAATTTCTTAGTTTATACGTGGAAGACAAGTTGGGGATGTAGATATTTAAATTATAATTTATAATACATTACGACGGTCGACCGCCTGATGCATACTTCTGGGTCGGCAAAGGAACGCCCGACAGAACTGGACGCAAGATACCCAACGAAATGAAGAGGTAAATTTCTTAGTTTATACGTGGAAGACAAGTTGGGGATGTACATATTCAAATTATAATTTATAATACATTATGACATTATAATACATTACATTTATAATACATTACGAGCGCCTGATGCTTACTTCTGGGTCGGCAAAGAACGCCCGACAGAACTGGACGCAAGATACCTAACGAAAAGAAGAGGTAAATTTGTTAGTTTATACGTGGAAGACAAATTGGAAATGTACATATTCAAAGAATAATATAGTTAGTTCGTCAGTGTTCGGTGAGAAATATTGGACGTGGAGTTATCATGATTTTACAAATTGCGGAAATGTATTCGTGCCTGTATAATCATAACAAATGATATGGCTCAGTCGTACCGTAAGATATGCGACCCAGTCAAAATCATTATTTTAAAATTTTTTAATAGTTTTTTTGCAACTTCAGAAGGAGACATATATCATATACGGTAGTTACATAACATTCGCAAGACTAGTAAACTTAACTTTAAAAAAACCCTCGTAAATTAATGCATTAATTCTAAATATATTCAGCCGCATCTTTTAGAATAAATTACGAAATTGGAACGACTTTCGAATCTAATCTTGAATCTTCCTGTCTCCGTAATTTGTATTTTTCCATTTATCCATTTTTCGGGGTTACTCCTATATTCATTATAAGACTAACGTGCTCACAGCCATCCGTTCCTCAGCCACCGCCCCTCATAAAGCCTTATTTAACAGCTCCCTCTCAACATGATAACAATTAGGAGTCCCCTCATAATCCTATCAAGAAATAGGATCGATTCTCCTAATATAAGGCTTCGCTAACAGGAAACTTTCGCCGGAACATTGCCGCGTGTAATGCGATCTGCGGCCACCGCCCTAACAGCGATGGGGAAACGGTGTTCTCTCGCGATTGCGAGGCTAAAATGAAAATTTCGGAGCGATCATTCTTGTTTATAAAATTAATATTCAAATATTTATTTTGTGGTCTTCTAAGAGGATGTTATTGTCTTACTTGGTAAATTAGCGCCCGATAAAATCATTTTGGAATCAGAAAGATTAGATTATGGAACAAGAAAGAGAAGCGGCAGCATTCGTGAATTACTTTCATCTGCTTCGTAGTTGTAGAGAAATATAGTTAGCTTGGTACATGATTAACACAATCATTAATTACAACTGGAACAATTTGATTATTTATTTTACAGCAACATTATAAAAATATCATTGCAATATATTTTTACTTGTGGTACGTTAATTTTTTTACTTTATTAAGTTGCCTTGATCGAACTCGATATTTGAAATCAACCTGTCGTGCGAGTGCCATTGAAGCCTACGTGGATGTGGACACCTAACTCATTCAATTAGATTATTTATCCAGCACCATCTGAAGAGATCTTTATTAAATTTTTAATTCAATAAGATATTAATCAAACTCAGTATTTTAATATCGCCTGCAGCATGAATCATACAAAACCTAAGAGGGTGTGGCTATCGAGCTCGAAGTAACTGACTCTTAGTCATTATTTCATTGTTATTTCAAAAGATATTAATGCAGATTAATATCTTAATATCCCCAGCAGCTTGAATCCAATCGAAGCTTACGAAGGCGTAGATATCGAACTCATGCTGCCTGACTTGTTTGTAATGGTCATTTCAAAAAGATATTAATAATAATCGCCATCTTAATTAATGTCCCTTGCTGCTTGAGCCTCACTTAAGCCTACGAAGGTCTTGACATTGCGCTTGAGCTACCTGACTTGTTATCGTTGCTTCCTCGTTATCATATCGTTATTACCATACGATATTAATAAAACCAAATATTTTATCGTGCCATGCAGCTTGAGTCCCATTGAAACCTACGAAGGTGTTAACATCGCGCATAAGCTACCTGACTTGTTATCGTTATTTCCTCGTTATCATATCGTTATTTTAATAAAACATTACTAAAACTACACATTTTATGGTGCCCTGCAGCTTGAGCCCCATTGAAGCCAACGAAGGTGTGGATATCCTGCTTGAGCTACCTGACTTGTTATCGTTATTTCCTCGTTATCATATCGTTATTTCAATAAAATATTAATAAAACGTACGATATTAAACACGAATATCGTAAACACGATAATAAAACTTAATATTTTATCGTGCCCTGCAGCTTGAGTGTCATTGAAGCCTACGAAGGCGTGGACATCGAGCTCGTCCTGCCCGACAACCTGACCATCTACGACATCGACTACCTGGCGCTGTGGTGCGTGCGCTACACGGAGAACTTCGGTGACGTCAAAATACCGTCCGCTGCTGAACTTTTTTTGCCTCCTGCTCTGGGACAGACGCAAGTCAAGGTAAGCTTTTTTCCAATGTCTTTGTTTTTTTTTATTATATTTATTAAATATTGATTAAAATTTACGATATTTTGTGTTTATACGTGGATTAGATTCGATGGTTGTTGCTAAAAACTATATTCCTTGACAGCATATTACTCAGTCTTGATAGTTCAGAGAAAGCGAACATAGAGTTAATATAGAGCAAAAATATTTTTCCCACGCCCAGCATTAAATTATCTATTTGAATAGTAACAATTTTGAGACATTAAAGTAGGTTATGGTATACACTGATGAGCTGCGTACACTGTACAAGCGGCACTTACGTTATCATATTCTGCAACATTTGCGATGGATAGAATGAAATAATTTTACTAGGAGTCTCTTCTATCTTCTCCCTGTCTCGGTAATCCGCCCATTCTAAATCACGAGCCTCGCTCGTTTGATTTTAATGCTCTGTTTTATCTAGTTAGCGATCTCTTCCACGCTCACCCCTGCCATTCATGAAGTTGTTCGCTGGAGGGGTGAAGACCTTCAATTCATTAAAGATAGCATTTGCATCGCTTAAAATTAGAGCTAAAATACTTCACTGGAATTAGATCGAATAATCCCGTATCTGAAATACGAAAGGGGAAAAAGTAAATTTCGGTTCCTTTAATTGTAAGTTTAATGAAGCTCCTGTGAAATTTGAATGAAGGATGCTGTACTTCGTGCGTTCCAATAATTTATTTTAAAATTACATTACTATTGACATGAATTTTCAAAAATATTCACCAAAAACACCTGCTTATGCGATTTAATATTTATTCAAAAAAACAAAATATGAGTATAGTAATTTTAAATGAATTATTTTCATAACATAGCATTTTTTGGGTAATTCATTAATGCCCGATCAATTGCTCAGGTTACTAAAGGCTGGCAGGTAATTCAATTTAATATCTTTCTAAATTGATTGAAGAAATTAATTAATCATGATTAAATAAATAATGATTCATCCTAGCCTCCGTGGTGGTACAACGATACAGTGAGTGTCGGGAGTGAATCCATGCATGCTGCAGTATATACAATATTTAGTTTGCTTCAGTGTTGACGTGATACTTTGAACAAGTCTTTTTAAATTATATTTGTAGTTAGAATAGAATATTTATGCTATTAAATTATCATTTATTTTATTTATTCGCAACTAATTCATACATAATTAGTCTTTTTGCATTTTTATTATGCATATGTTGGATGTTTTTTTTTTAATTTGGTGTTTTTCAATGTGTAGGAATTTTTCGTTATATTTAATTTATTAATTTTTTGTTTTTTTTTACCTCACTCATCACTGCAACACTCATCAAAACGACTAACGTTCTTAACATTCCATTTTCTTTAAATTTTCATTATCGGTCATCTTACAAACCATCATTTGTAACCACCTGAACAACACGTCGTCATCATTGCTACCACCACCATCATATTATTCATCTTTATCATAATTACTAAAAACCACCATAAATACTACTATTTGATCACACGACACTGCAATAATTGAACATAATCATCATCCACATCATCAAATGCTACATATTGTTTCTTTGCCATCGGTCATTACTTTCGGTCATCATCGGTCATCACCATCACCATCTTCTCATCATCATTTCACCCACCACCCGTCCTCACCATCACCATCACATGTCATCGCAATCTCCACCATCCATCACCACCACCCGTCACCACCATCACAACCCACCCACCACCCGTCATCACCACCACCACCCGTCACCACCACCACCACCTGCCCAAACCCCGTTGACCGCACAACAGTCCGGGTCAGCGTTGCAGCCAGCGCACGTCAGCCCCAAGGATCAATACGACCACCACACCACAGACGAGGTATTGGCCTCGACACTCACGCCTTCACTAACCACTCACTTCACCAACACGACTGCAACCAAAACCGACCATTTAAATGAGACTCTCAGTGTCACTCCGAGTTACGGTGTAACAAAGAGCGATGATGTCACGGAGAAGACATTGTTGAATGGAAAAGCTAATGTAACTGCGTCGCGGGGTGACTTCGAGCTGGGGCATGACGAAAAATCTACCACAAAGGTGGATGAAAGTACTGTGACATCGGTGGGTAGTAAATCGGTAACGGAAAAATCCAAGGGTAGTGAGACAGTGACGGTGAAATTGGACATTCAAGGAACAGGGGTCGAGAAAACAGTTGGCAATGAAGTAAATTCCAAGTCAAATGGAACTGAAGCAGAAAAAGCGACATTTAAAAACGAGAAAGTGTCGGGGTGGAATACGACAGATCACGAGAAATCTATGGAAGGAAAAGTGAATGTTGAAGAATCAAAATCAAATCTGACTGATAGTAATTTCATTAGTAATGAACTGGAAGACAATCGGGCTCAAAATTCGAATGGTACTGATAAAAGTGACGACTTTACCAGTGCGGAAAAGGAAGGGGAGGAGGATGACGATAAAAGAAAGTCGTTCCGTATGCAACGAGGAATGTTGATTGAAAATGCAAAAAATATGACGGAAAATGATACTATTGGAACAGTAAATGTTGGTCCTAAGGAAAAAGTGTTATCAAGCGACTTTTATCTAGCGAGTCCAGTCAAAGAGAGTAATGGGACCTTCCAGTTTGGTTTGGCAGAGGACGTGGAAAAAATAAGGGCTTTTGATACGAACGACACAGAAGCCATGTCAAAGATGAACACGACTGGGAGCGTTCTCGGGGGCTTCGGAGGAAGGCCTAACCCAATGCTAACGACCAATAACTACACTTTTAGGTACGACGCTGATCCCGAAATCCGACCAAAATCAGCGCATAACGGAAGTGAAATAACAGAGATTGTTATTCGTGAGGGTAAAGATAGGTACCGGTACTCAGTAGGTAATGACCACGTAATTCAACACGTTATCGACGGTGTACACTTGGAACCTGAAGGGCTGGTTCACATCGAAAGCAAGAAGCACTGGGGTGCACATTTCTACGGTCTCCCTGGGCACACGGACCACGATTCAGAATTCCAGGAATCTACAGAGAAAGCAAATGTAGAAGAAAGTTCCGAGGGTAATGAAGGATCAGCGCGGATGAAACACCATCCAAAAGACGTGTATTCAGTTACAGTTCAATCATCCAACGTTACTCCGAACGACAACGAAGAGACGACGACTAACATGAACGATATAAATATGGATGAGGAAAAGGATCATAGTAAAGATGAGGAAGGGGATGAGGATAATGATAAGGAAGTTGTAGATAAAAAGGAACAACATCCAAAACAAAAAGCCTCGGTTTCTGGTAAGACGTCCACTTCTGCCGCGGTGCGCGGTTGTGTTCCAGGGGCGATCATGGCGTTACTTGTAGCAGCAGTTCACTCTGGCCATCGGCTGAATATTTGAAGAACTTTGCTATTCAAACTCTGATGGAATATTGTTTTCTGTGCAATTTGGAGTAACTTTGAAACGTTTAAACGGATTGCAGTTGTGCAGCTGAAATCTAAAACCGTGGTGAAATCTGATTTCTTTATTCTATATCCCTTCGCCAGCAAATTTGTGTAGATAATTCTCTTCATGGTTTAATATTTGCTGCAAATTTTACATATTATGCCTATTTATTGAACCAGCTACTTCTAAGGACTTAAGACTTGGAAATTTGGAAATAATATATCGGTGAAAAACTGTGAACTGCTCACATTAGCTGCCACATATTCTTAAGATCGTCACTTAAATCACGATCCAGGAGAAGAAATGTGAGATTGTTTCTTACATACCTGGGCACTTCTATGTAATGACACTTTTTATTCGTTAGCTAAGCCGATATTTTCGGGAAAATTTCAAGGAAAAGAAAACATTGTGTCAGGCCACAAGTTTTAATAAAGCTTTCTCAGTATAAATTTCATAAAAATTTGTAAGTTATTTCTTGTCGACGATGACCGAGACCGTGACTGTCATTCTAATGTTTATCTAATACTTATAACCACCGTAGATAGTGGGCTTATTCACTCTCTAGCTTTTTAATTTCATAGCAGTGTATTCTTTTTATGTTGCCTAATGAATGCTCAATCATGAATGTATTTTCGATTTATTCAACAATTTGGACCTTTTATTCTACTTTCACTTTCCTTTATTGAATGGTTCACACTTATTCAGTTGGCTTTCTTGTATGAAATACTTCTAGATTTCCTACTGTAATATTTCTGTACACTCCAATAAATTGCCGATTGATTCTCCGACTTTTGCTGCATGGATCTATCAACTCTTAGCACATACTGAAATATTTTTATTGCACAATTAGCACGTACGTTGCTCTGCATGATAGTTTTATGTAGCAAATTGATCGCGGTCTCGTGAAAGTACACAGAAATGTATGAACTAATAAGCAGATTTTTAACAAGAATAAAATCTAAATAGAAACGAGATCGAACGCATGTAACGTTAGCATGGTAATTCCCGCGTTTTTCTTTATTAATTTGACATCAACTTTTGCAGTTATTAAATGCAAATATTCTTTCTATTTTGTTCACATTTTTTTCTCGAATTTAGACACGAATTTTAACCTGCAAAGTTGGCCGCAGATTGCGGCAATTGTTCCGGTGAGTAGAAGTAATTGCCTTGAGTTTTATCCCCAGAAATATTACCTTTCCTGTGTAATTCATTTATATTGAATTCCTTTACCCTTTCTTTCAATATTGCCCCTACGCTCTGACGCGTTCAATAGTAAATTTTAAATTTATTCCTTCGAACGATGTGAGAGGTATAACTGTTTTCAATAATTTCATTGATTAGTGACCTTTTATTGAAGTGAATGATCTAATTTTTAATACTTTTATTATATTCTTGCATGCGAATTTTGATTGCTGTATTAGCATGGATTTTAATTGATAACATTCCCACATGCATGCAAACCGCACGAGTTATTTTTGCCGTATTTCCTACTGTATAATTAATTTAAACTATAAAAAATTCCTATTTCTCTCTCCCAGTTTTACTTCAAATCAATGTTGGCTTGTTGGGTTAATTTTCTCGTTACTTGCGAGTGCGGGTCTAATGGCCTATATTTGTGCACGCTAAATTGTTTTTTCGTTTTAAATTAACGGTTTATTGATTGATTTTAATTATATGTGAATAATATAATATTAATTTATTTGCGATTTTACCTACAAACTGGGTGAAAAGGGCATTAAAGAGCGCGAGGTGCTGCACTAACATCTATCTTAAATAATATAATATTAATTTATATTATATTATAAATATAATATTTAATTATGTTCATATAATATATAATATAGATATATTATATGATGTCTCCAAAATTTCACTTGAGTAAATTATTAATTTCCATTTTGAACGAACTCAACTTCAACAATAAACTCAATCTGATTATCTAATCATTTGAGTTTTCTAAAAATGGTTAACCTTGTTTTATTATCATGTCGATCAATATTTTTCTTTCTAAAATGCAAGTTTATGCGTGCTGATTGATCGAAGGAGAAAATGTTCAAAATCTTCATTTTTATACCTAATTAACTGAATTATATGTTCATAAGATTTATTTGTATGCCTGATTGACTGAACTGAAAAAGTTACATTTTATAATGCAGTGATATTTTCCAGCGCTTGTTCCCGAACTGCGTTCAGCTCGCGCCAAACTTCAAAGTGGAGTGGGAAGGCAAAGGAGATTCTTTGGAGATTCGTCTCACCGCCGAGATAGACGAGAATCAGTACATGTCATTTGGCCTGTCTCCGCGCCAGGGAGAGTGAGTGATTCAAAGCAAATGGTTTCATATTTTTGTGATTGATGAATAAAAATAAATAAAATTTAAAAATAAATGAAAAGTAAAAACTAAATTTTAAAAATGGAAATAAGAAACTAACAAAAGAATTTATAGTCACATTGGAACCAAGTAAAAATTTTCTATTTGGGATATTTGTGAACTTTTAACAAGTGGGTTGGATTTGTGCGCTATTTCAATGTCCCTCTAAACTTGATTCAAGTTTTGAAAATTTTATATATGATTTCTTATTGTTGCTCGATTTTGCAGTTTGTGGAATAAGCACTCATAATCTTAGGAACTTTTCATCTAGTAATTAAAGTTAATTTATGATGATATTTATTGTTATGTTTTCTTTTAAGATTGTCTGAGCACTCTTAAGTATCGAATTCTCCGATTCAAGATTTTTCAAGCGATAATTAAAGTCAGTCTAGACGTCAGGGAGCTTCTGAAAGCTATAATTTCCTATTCGAGTTTCCTAGTCTGAAATTCCTAAAGTCAGCAGAAAATGAGTATAAACAAAAAATTTCTCTCGTGATTCATAGTATTTATATATGTCAATAGTCTGCTTAAATCGCAAGTACACCAAGAACTTAAAAGCAAAGAAAATGTGTAGTAAATTCATCTCTTCTTCAATAAAAACTTTTTCAATGAAAATATGATGAATTTACTTTGAGTTTTCTTTGTTTTCAAATTATTTCTGGTTCATAGTGAACTAAAGTCACTTCGCGCCAAAGTTATGATCATTCTATCGAGATATGTAGTCAACTCGTTCTGCTTTAAACAAGTTATCGTGATTACTTTTATGTTCGCTATGAAATCCTTGCAACTGAAGTCCGTAACTTCATATTACGAGCTTAATTGCTTACTCATTTGGTAGGCTTTTGGTAAAAAAATTGACTGTAATAAATCTTATTTTTTATTGTAAAAATGTATAAGAGCTCCTTATGTTTGGCNACACATTATTATAAGTTTACATGTATAAAGTATTATATAAAATAATTAATTTTTTAACCGCGAAGAGAACGTGCTCCTTGACCGCGCTTTCTAGCTTTTTTCGTATTACGCTGAGGGTATTTCCAGTGCTAAATAAATACATATTAGTTCATATTTATAAAGTAATTATATAAAATAATTAATTTTTGAACCTGCCAGAGAACGTGCTCCTTGACCTGCGCGGTAAAGGCACCAACACGTGCAAGCCGCGCACGCCGGTGCCCTCAGCTCCAGCGCGCTATGACGCGTGGCCCCCCAGCGTCATCAAGAACGTCTACAACTTCTCTGTCAACATCGGGCCTACGGGCGGCGACCGCGGCTACTCTGCACTTACTAGTCAGTTGCTGCTACTAGATTTAAGGAAATTTACGGCAGCTGTTTGCAGTCGCACCAGCTGTTTGCAGTCGCACCAGCTGTTTGCAATCAAACCAGCTGTTTGCATTCAAACCAGCTGTTTGCAATCAAACCAGCTGTTTGCAGTCAAACTAGCTGTTTGCAATCAAACCAGCTGTTTGCAGTCAAACCAGCTGTTTGCAGTCAAACCAGCTGTTTGCAGTCAAACCAGCTGTTTGCAGTCAAACCAGCT